TGGTGTGAGCGTGTATGATCAATAGTATCGACTGCAAAAAACGTAAATAGTTGCCCAGTTTCGAAAAGCACGGCCGAAATTCAAAGGCCCCGCCAGCGATTGTGTATACTTTGATGGACAATTTTAGAAGTACTCGAGAGATGAGGAATTTCGTCACACACACGTTGCAGAGACCCCTAACTACTGTGAATATTAGATCCATATATCGAAGAATATCTCATTCGGATTGACGTGGTGATGCGGGGGAAGTTCGGAATATGTTGGAGGATCAGCGAGAAGTTAGGATAAGGCTGAACGAAGGCGTCGTTCGTCAATTTATTCTGTTCCTGAGGTTATGCTGCACTGCGTCGCCAGGTTTAATTAAGTTTTGCTTGCGGACGCCACGCATCAGCCAAACTGTATTAGGTACGTGCTTGGCATTCTATGCTCTTAGACGACACCGGTTTGGGTAGAAGTTTCTTCTAAGCTATCTTGCCGAATGAGAGTGGTGAGAGCAATAGATCTGTTGTGGTAGCCATGAAAGCTGTGTCAAGCCTTTGCACAGTGCAAGACTATGGTAGTTAACCGTAGCTTGGCTGAGTACAATGCGTTTTCAGAATATTTTCCGTCCTCTAATGTGATATTCTATCGTTTCCATCCTATTCAGGATATCAAGACAAAATGTAACCAGCTATCTGATATGCCAACTTTCGAAAAGCAGCGCATCTTTCAATGGATGCGCAACATGGTGTTCTGTGATAGTGAGGTATCGTTTTGTAGACCCCTAGCCGCCGTAGAAAGAAGTGGCACAGAAAAAGGTGTTTATTTACGCTGAACTTGGTTACCATACCGAGAGCAGTGGGCAGGGTATGCCGTGGGGACTAGGTTGACTTTAGGAAACCTAACTATCAACCGAGTGGAGACGGAAAATAGGCACCTCAAGACAGGCTTGTCCCCTCGGTCTTCATTAGTGAATGTATTTAAGAAAGTGCTACAACGAGTAGGGTCACTGGAATTGACGCATGGAATTGGCCTTGCTAAAGATTCCAAGATTCCCAGAGGCATGCAGTCGTTTAAACCGTTGCTCGTACGAGTAACACCATTTGCGCCACACCATTTGCCGAGGACATGCTCACCATGAACGTTATAACAAAAAACGAGGTGGCTCCTCGGGTATTACGCCCAAGGACTCTGATGCTATAGATAGCCCATTCCCGCCTGATCTAAAAGCAGAAATTAACACAGAGCGGAACACAAAAGCTTGCGTAAAGTGGGGAGAATTAGGAGAACGCACCCCGGGAACAGACATGTCAGTGTTACTGAATCATAGCTGAAACAGGAGCAACCCGCTACTCATTTAAGAGGGTGTACAAGCTATAGGCAGGACAGAACTGACGGCAGACAGCGGGGCGGAGTACTGCTGCTCGTCAAGGCTGACCTGAATCAAAGGGCAATAGAGCTAGAGTTGGGTACTCTGAATATCCAAGCCACAGGATGCTGCATTCAACTGGGGTGGAAGCAAGTGGGTGTAGTATGTATATATAGATCCCCGAAGACGACGCCAGAGGAAGATATGGAGCTGCCTATGATCCTACAACAAACACTGGCGAAATATTAGAGTTTTGTCATCACTGGCGACTTCAATTTTCCGAAGGTAGCATGGTCAAGGGGGTATGCACATACTGGATCCCCAGGGACTGCATTCTTGCAGTTTCCACAAAAAAGAGCTCTGACACAGAATGTGACAAGAGCCACCAGATACCGAGGACAAAAGTGATCCTTGTACGTCAACCAATTCGCACTTCAGTGACGCGTAGCCGAACCGATACGAATCCCGAATTTAAAACACATTTGATCCGCAATGTTCTATGGTACTGAATTGACGAAATCATTACAAAGTGTACAATAAAGCAAACCTCAAATATGCGGCCAAAAGCACTCAAACAAGCGAGCCAAATAAGATGTCCAGAGAGAGGCAAACAGTAGCTCCCGTTCTCAAACCGCACCAAATTCAAATGTGCCGGGCATCCAAACTAACAGATAAATAGTGATGTGTGGTGTTCGTGACCGAGAAATGTCAATGTAAAGAAAGTAACACACAGATAGAGTTATTGCACCATAAATCATTATGGGTTCGGAAGGATTTTCAAAACGACAGATAAAGTTATTTCACCATAAATCATTATGGGTTCGGAAGGATTTTCAAAAAATTCACCATGAAATACAACGGTTTCAACAACTACGGCCCTCGACAGTAGCATATCCCTAGCATGCATGCTGCCGAATGTTACCAGTAGTGGGTGTGGTGCCTTTTGCCTCTTCCACAGCTTCATTCTATGACGCTTTACAGTGATCATTGTGGGGGACATTCCCGCCAGTCGAAGAACATCTTACCCATGCCTGCGGTCCATCTCACGGCGAGATTTGCCATCTCTGATCGTGGGTTGTGGACCTAGAATAGACTGGTTTGTCTGCTTCATGAAAGCCAGCTCCTTTTCTAGGCGCTCCAACCTTAAGCTTCTATCTTTCATCTCCGTTGTCTCTTCTGTTTTCGTTTTCGGTGTTATACACTGAGGTTTCTCCACCCTTTGGTCATTCTTTGGTTCAGGTGTTTTTACGCTTTCCTTTACATGAGCAGATAGCAATTTAGGCTGTGCAGACCCCGGTGCTTTTTCGCCATCTAACGGTCTTAGTTTACCCTTGAGAATGCGCGAGCATTGAAACAGCTAGACCCACCAACGGTCTATCGCTGGAATCGACAATGCGCAGTGTTGGAAGCTACAAACACCCGCCAACAACACCAAAATCTCGAAGCTCGATTAGCTGGAGGTCACATTTCATCCTGTAAACAATGGGCTGACCTGAACTAATTTGTTTTACTTAGTCATCCAACAGGCGGCCTTTCAAACTGGAGCCGACTGATTTGTATCCGAAAAGCCGTGGCCCTTCTATGGCCACCGCAAAGCAGTCCAATGTGAATTTAGTGATCGCTGGAAAATGGAGACTAGTTCGAAAAATCGGTGGTGGGTCATTCGGGGATATTTACTTGGGACATAACATATCAAATGGAGAGGAAGTCGCTATCAAACTCGAACCCAGTAGTGCGCGACACCCACAGTTGTTATACGAAAGTCGTGTGTATCGAATTCTTCAGGTAATAATTGCGTACACGGTATCACTTTTAGAACTCACTTGGGGTACCTCGGGTTCATTGGTTTGGCAATGATGGTCCGCAGTGTCGTTACCGGGCCATGGTAATGGATCTCCTTGGTCCCAGTTTGGAGGACTTATTCACTTTCTGTGGTCGACGATTCACTCTGAAGACCGTTTTGATTCTTGCAGAACAAATGTTGTGGCGCATAGAAAATATCCACAACAGAGGTCTGATACACAGAGATATTAAACCTGACAATTTCTTGATGGGCATCGGACCCACTTGCAATCGAGTTTACGTGGTCGACTTCGGGCTTGCCAAAAAATACAGGTGAGTTTTTTTTTTGGGCTTACAGTGGTTTGCAGAGATCACCGGTCGAAGTGTCACATCCCCTACAGAGATGACAAGAACCTTACCGGGACGGCTCGGTACGCCAGTATCAATGCACACGCTGGAATCGAACAGTCGCGGCGTGATGATATTGAGTCCCTTGGCTATGTATTTATGTATTTCTTACGCGGCCATCTGCCGTGGCAGGGTCTCAAGGTATGTGAACTTCGGCAGTTGGCTTTTGTTGGAGATTCTTTTTCCAATATTAATGTTCTTCGTATTTCTGACTGCAGTTTCAAGTCAGTCAAGCTTTCCTTCACTCCGCTAAAATGCTCACAGGCTTTATAGTTCATTGGTTTCTGTTTTCACTTCAGCTTTGTCTCAGTGAACTGTTAGTTGTAAGGAAGAGGTATTGCGTACAACGGTGACGGATGAGAGTTCTCTGGTTCAATACCACGCCTATCATATCGGGGCCTTATGTGGTTCACCACAACATATTCCGGGGCTTAGGTTACCGGTTTCCATCACTGGATAGCAGGTCCTCGTGATTGTGGGGTTTACCCCGTCTGCTGCTCATCACACGGAAGTGTGGAATAAAACTAAACGTTCACAGTACCATTCCTCTCATTGCAATGTGCGGTACTGCTCAGATCCATTGAAAACTGGCTCATCAAGAAACTCAACAGACTATCAGAGTTGGTGGATCGTAAGATATTATATAAAAAGCTGGTATTGTCAATAGTAGGCAACCTTTCCCATCTAGTCAATCGCACCGTTTAACCGAAAACTACCTGGAGGTGAAGAAAGTGAAGGAGTTCGAGCTTTCACTAACTAATCCTCAGCAATGCCGTCTAAACCGATGGATAGCGCGTAGTTCATTCGGTCCTCATCGATGTTAAGATTACCCACTTTCGCCCCCAGATATACAACTACCTCCAGTTGATATGTTTCGTACCTATTAAAAGATGAGTTATCCTAATAGGCATAAGATAGGACCAGTTTGTCTCTACTCACTCTTATGGACGTTGGTTCAGTTTTGCTCTGATTTGCAGACAACCTATTAGTTTAAAATTATATGGCTGAATTTTTTATTACAGTATTAAGGGTGAACACCATAGTCACCGGGGTTTACTGTCAGCTTATTCCAAC